TAGGATTTGGTGATTGGAGGGTAATGTAAGGTTGAGTAGATGTGAGTTTGCGGAGGAATTGTTTAGTTGGTTTTGTTGCTGGATCGGGGTGTGATTTGCAAGTGTTTGAAGTGTTGTTCGAGGATTCTGGGTTAAATTTCGACGTTTTGCCAACATTGCAGGTACCTTCATCAAGGTATCGAGGCACACAGTTAATTTCGTGTGTCCTTTTGGATTTGGTCTTACAAAATCATTAGTTACCAATCCGGTGATTTTAACCCTTTTGCTACGGCAAATTTTACTGCGCAACGTCTGAGAGTAAATTTTTAATCACGGCTGCAAAATTTCTTCTTTTAAAATTTCATTTATTAAGCTAAGGTGTGTAAAGGATAAAATTAAGTATTAAATTAAGGCGGAAGTGTATCAGGTAGCTCCGACAGTACAGTGCGAGCAAATTTTCAAAACCCCTATAGGCGCCAATAGTAATGAAAGGGTTAATTGGTCAGCGCTGAACAATTGAAATCTCTCAGACTCTAGCCCGGAAACTTCAAAGAACAACTGAAGCAATCCAGGTCGCGAAAGTCTCAAAAGTCTCATCTGTACACTGATGCATGGGATTTCGTGGCTCTGTCGTTATTTCACTCTCTTTTCTAGCTAGTGAAGTAGAGGTGTTCGCACTGATAGAGCACAGATGGAGAAACGTAGAAAACTAGCAGTGATCCAATATCTGGTGATAAAGTCTCACTACTAAGATTATTCAAGATTCTTCTAAAAATTATTTAAGGTTCTTGCAAAAATTATTCAAGGTCCTTGCAGTGAGGATCTATGTCACGACGATCATCTCTCCAGATATAAGATAATTCCAAAATGAAAATTTTTCAATGTTAAGTTTCAAATTTGCATTTTCTTCATTTCCTAGAATTCTTCTTGATTACGAAGCACTACAGATTTTTGTCCATCTCTTCTTCGTCACTGCAAAACACCTCTATTTCACCGGTTGTAAAAGAGAAAACAAGGTGGAACCATGAAAATTGGTACACAAATGATCACACGTTACCAGCAGTTTTTCATACTTAGGCTGCGAACTTTTCAATCCACCCTCGTACTTTTAGATGGATCCAATGTTTCAAGTATGCAGTTCAAACACGTGTCTTTCATTTAGGAAGAATTTTGATTAAAATTGATTTGTAAGCTTATCCTCGATCAGGCTGTCGGTTAAACGTTAATACTAAGTTCAGTTGGATCCAAAGCGAAAGTATCATTGACCGAAATTTAACTCATTCATTTTATTGTTTATTTTTATTTAAATGCCTACTTTTAACCCCTTGACGTATGACTTCTTTTCTTCACTGTCCATCTAAGCGTCAGCTGTTTCCGTTTTAGTACTATACTAAGTAAGAAAAGCTGATGGTGAATTAAATTTGGCAATCTTCAGTTGTACAAATTAAATTGAAAATCGGAATTGAAATTCATTTCTCCCAAAATCTATGGCACGTGTTTGACTCGTTATTGTATGGCAAGGGGTTAATATTTTCTTCCTTCAGGAAGGCATACCGAATAGACAACTAAATATTGAATAAATTTTCTGAAATTTTCTCTTATTTACAACGACAAAAATATTCATATAACCATTACTATTTTAATATTGAGCTGATATCGATCCATGAATATAAACATTACCGATAAATAGTTAATACGTTAGTAACATTAATAGCAAACAGTATTATTAATATTGGTGAATAGTTTACAGAATACGATATTATTTTATTAATGCCTCCGCAATAATGGCTTACACTTGACTTTCCAATAACATGGTTTCCTCGAAATCGCTTCGTTGCAGTATTAATAGCATCGGTCGAATTATTATTTCAACGATGTTAATAGAAAAAAAAAAGAAACATTGACGTTAATGCATGCTCTGAAACATATATTACTCGGTGGATCGTGAAAACAATATGATACTTTTTGCAATGCTGTTATTTCGAGAAGAGGCTAAAAGAATATTCTCAGCAAGTGGGATTTCCGTTTGCTTCGTTTCTCCATAATTCACAAATAAAAAGTCGCTTTTGTCAGTGGAAAGGTGAAACTCCCTTGGAAATGCATTTTCATATTCCATCTTCATGCACGTGAGTTTTTTTCATGAAACACGTGTCGAGTCAGAAGTTCATTTAAATTTCATTTTTCCACGAGAATTTCTTTCAAATTTCCCTCTTCTCGAGAGAACAGCAAATTTGCTCCACTACGTACTGTCTGATTCCTTAAAGAATTTTTCTTCCCTTACCTCTCTCTGACACAAATAACTTTTTCAGTTCAATTAAATTGTCATTTCTTTTTTTTTTTTTAAGGACATATAAGATACTACTGTAGGAACCTAGGGAAAAATACTGAGGGACCCAACCGGGAATCGAACCCAGGACCTTAGGCTTAGCAAGCCGAGGCTTTGCGCGCTACGCCAACCACTCCCTCTCTATTCTCCCGTGCTGGTTTTCTATTTGGGCATGGAGGCCCCGATACTACACTCGGCCATCCTGAACTGACATTCGCCCTCGAATTGTCCTCCGTGCAACACAACTCAACACTTTCGGGCACACTCACCCACACAGTGGCACACAGCCGAAACAACGCATTTTTGGGAGACGTGCAACCCTCGAGATGTTTTCATCTCACAGCGCCTGGCATCGTGCAGCCGTAGATGCCTCCACCCCGGACAAGTCCTCATTTGTAGGAACCTAGGGAAAAATACTGAGGGACCCAACGGGAATCGAACCCAGGACCTTAGGCTTAGCAAGCCGAGGCTTTGCGCGCTACGCCAACCACTCCCTCTCTATTCTCCCGGACTGGTTTCCTATTTTTTGGGTATGGAGGCCCCGATACTACACTACTAATCAAGCAAATCGAACGCTTAATTGTAATTTTTAACGCGATATTAACAGTTTCTAAATTTTAATTTCGAACTTCAAGCTTTAAATTTCACATTTCAGAATTCTTATTTTTCACTTATAATTACAAAATGAAAACTGTTTAACGTTAAGTTTCAAGTTTGAATTTTCCGAATTTCGTTTCAATTCTTTCAAGGGAATTCTACTTGTCGTTACGTGAAAACCATTGCAAATTTAAAAAATCAATTCAAGCCATCGCATTGCGTATAAAAAGTAATACAATTTTGTCCTGTTCTATTTTCCTCAGAAATCTACCACTTACGAGGAAAAACGCTAAGAACCAGCGCGAACACCCTGCACATTTCCACTGATATACGAGCCACTCAGAAGCCAAAATGATCGACTCCACATTTTAATACTCTTCGAATTTTAGTATCAAAGCACAATTTTACTTTATAAAGTCAGTCACTTCGAAGACACTAACTTCAGCGAAGAAATGTAATTTAAATCGTATAATCACATTTTGTACAAAAATAATAATCCTCGTTTTAATCCTCAGGTGACAGTCATTTTGAGCCAACGGTAATCCTTGCTCTACGTTTTGTTTTAAAGTGTTGCAAGTAAGCAAACAACATACAAACATCGCATTTCTCGAAGAAATTAGCCAAAATTATCGGCTGCGTCAAATTACCTTACGAATCAAAGCATCGAATTCGAATCTTATCGCTCTAACACAACAATTTTACATACTAACTGCTCCTCAATTTAATAAGCATTATTATAAATACATAAACAGTGGAGTCTCGTCTAACCTACATAGATTCTGTATTATCCGAGATGCTTTGAACTTAAATAAAATGAAAAAAAGAATGTAATTGTTTGAGTCGATGGGTATTCACAAATCGTGCAATAAAATCATAAAAGAAACATTTCGGTAATACAATACTGTACATGTACTTAAGTTTAATTAACTATCTCATTAATTCAAATAGTTAACTAAACTTAAACACATGTACAATATTATTATTATTGATACTGCGAACCAGAATTCCCTCCTTAAACCCCTTAACATATGATTTCTTTTCTGACTATGCATATAAGCGTCGGCCATTTAATGTTGCAGTACTGTATCAGGTAAAAGAAGCTTATCCGTTACAGATTAATCACATTTAGGAATCCTTCTTACAAATCAAAACGAAAGTTACGTTTACAATGAATTTTTCTCACTAATATAACTATCTTTCTCACATCTTCACCAAAATCTCTGCCACGAGTCTGATACGTTGTCGTAGGTCAAAGTGTTAACACTGCGAGAAAAGAATTGTCATACTAACCCAACATCCGTCTAACCATAATTCCAGAGTTAACCACCAAATTCGCCACAATTCTTTCACTCATTACCCCCGCTACAAACCAAACCACAAAATTCCTCTTTCCATAATTCTTTCACACATTACCCCCAAAAAATTCTTCCAAATTTAATCCAATCACCCCGTTCAACGTTAATTCCCTCCTGACGGACATTTCTCCGCTAAACCTCAACCCAATTTCTCTCCAGTAACCCCGTCGTCTCCCGTTCTTCAATATCCACCAACTCACCCCCCATCGTTGCTCGTAAACGCGACAGAGAACGGTCAGTCCTTAAATCGCGCTCACTCCGGCTCGTTCTCGTATATATACGCGAGAGAAGGAGGGGGCGGGGGGAACGAGGCGACGATTATCACGATTATACGAGCACGTCGGGACGAACGTGGCCCAGCAGGAGGGTTGGGTGGGGGGATGAAAGAGGGCCGGGAGGAAGCGACGAGGAGTGGTTTAATGGCGCGTATCAAGCATCCGGCCGACGGTGTTCAGTGGTGCTTGCCTCACCGTGGAAATCGCGAGCTGACTTTCAGACGAGAGAACGACCATGGGGCGGCAAGGGGGGATGGAGGGAAGGGCGGAGTAGGAAGATATTTCCTAAAGACGTAAATACAAACGAAGCTAAAAGCTCACCTCTCGCCGGGTGGGCCGAGACCACCTACAGTGCTAGGTGGTGGCGGTGGCGCCCTTATGGGGGTTGGAGGTGGCGTCGAGACACCACCCAGGGACGGCTGACTCTGCTGGGGCCGCGGACTGACCGAGGCGGAAGTCGTGCTGGGGCTCCTTGACCCGCCAGCTCCATCTGGACCGGCGTCCTCCACATCGGGGGCGCTGCTGCTTGTCGTTCCTTTTTTCCGAAACAGAAAAATCGGGATTCGTATGGATGAATCGATGATTTAAGGCGTACACACGACACGGGGGATAATTATTATTTTCAGGGTTTGAGGGTGGAAGTGGTGCTTTTGTGGAGAAAGTATCGCGACTTTACTTTTATGAAATCATTTGCGGTTATTAATTTCCGGCTATTTTTTGGAACAGTGTAACTTTTTCTTTAAATTGGACCAAACAACTTTTTTTTTTTGAGAAGTCAGAAGAATTAGTTCGCTATTTAGACGGCGTGTAGAAAAAATTTTGGAGAAATTGTATTTTGTGGGAATTGCGAGGAAAATTGTAGAGGTCACTTTTTGAAAATTTCTGATCTGAGCCTGTAGCGAAAATTTGAAACGTACGTTTTGTAGATTTATGTCAACTATATACACGCTGAAAATTTCATTGAAAAAAACTCAAGTCGTTCGGTCCAATTTTGAAAAAGTTATACTACTGCAATAGTGGCCTGAAATTAATATTTACGACCAACTTAAATTTCCCTATCAGCGCCATGCGTGCTTGTTTAAAATTGCAATTTCGATTTTTCACGGATATTACAGTATGTTTCATATGCCGTTTACAATTTTACGAGATAACTTTAGCAGCAAATTTAAACAAGATTTCGTAAAAACAGATAAATACAGGAAAATGAAATAAGATAATTCGTATTAGCGGTGAGAGAGAGATTGAAATCTTGATAAATATATCCTTCACTTTTATTCGTGATCGTACCTTCAGGATCGTGTCCTGTGGGACTTGGACCTGCCGATGAAGACGTCGGTGGCGCCAGGGCTGCCGTTTCCAATGCGCTAGCCCCTCCGCCGCCCTCCCTTTTTCTCTGTTCTTCTATCAAACGCTCACTTTTCCTCCACTTTGCTCTACGATTTTGAAACCATACCTGAAACGTTCAGAGCACCTTTGTTAGAACGTTATAAGGAAATACGAGGGAAGTTATTCACAAATGTGTAATTATAAGGGGAACTTTACAAGGAAAGTTCTTTAAAAATGTGTAATCTGAATGGTAAATTAAATTTCAATTTTCTCGACATTTAGTTATGAATAACTATAACAGAGCAAATCGAGGGATTTAAATTTATGGATGGTATATTTTGTCGATAAATATTACAGATGGAGATTGTTCGTTTGAACTCTCCAAGTATGTAGATACTATGAAATATCAAGTAGACAGTTAATCAGTCGAGAAGTGTGCAATTTTCTGTTCAACTCTATTCTGCATTTGTAAAATGACGGTATAGGGTTTTAATGAATTTTGTAAGTACATATATATATAACGTTATATCACCGCTTTTGTGAATTCGTTCTACTGAAAGTATTTTGAAATTTGAACGAGTGAATTTTGCGGACGTTGAATTTCGATCATTTCGTTGAATTTGAATTTCGAACACTTTACTATCCTTGCCATCAATTCTAGATAATCTTCCTGGAATGCTAAATAAATGACAAGTTCACTTCTGAACGCTTAAAAATATATTTTATTAAATAATTGTACTATTAAACTTATTATCCCTTTCACAAATAATACTTTATGCCTTATTATGGATCACTTGTAATCAACCATTTTTCAAAAGTATGCTCAGCGTTTACCAACTGTGATTTCTTTTTCGCAACTCTTCTGAATAAATGACTAATTTATTTTTGAACACGTTTAAAAAAATAATAAGCTATTTTCTATAATTTATTAAATGATTTTACTATTAAACTTTCTATCGCTTTCCTAAATAATGTTCCGCGCCTTATTATGGATTACTTGTAATCGATTAATTACCAAAACTATGCTCAGAAAGTACCGACTGCAATTTTCTTCCGCAAGTTTTCAGAATAAATGACTAATTTATTTTTGAACACGTTTAAAGAATTTTCTATATTTTATTAAATAATTCTACTATTAAACTATCTATCCCTTTTTTAACGCGTTAAACGCCCAGCCTGTTTTGCTTGCCTTTCCGTTCACGCCACACTCGACCGTCAACTGGGCTATGCGCGACGGGCGAATAATAAACAGAAGACGACTTAAAAATCCTTAAAAAACTACTTTTTAACTTTTGTTAAAATGTTATATTCCTGTTCTGAAAGCTTTGATTGAACAAAACTCGATATCGCCTAAACAAAATGTTTTGTCTCACAATCAGAACGCAAGGACCGACGCGCGCGGCCGCGTAGCACGAACCAAAAATCTAGGGACCGGCGTGGCGTTTAACGTGTTAAATAATATTCTGCACCTTATTATGCGTCTGGCGTGACAGTGAACGTGTTAATAAGTAAATGTTGTTCAAATTATGTCGTATTTGATGTCATTTTCATAAGAAAAATCTCATCAATATGTTGAGAAAAATTTCGGGATAAGAAAACGTAAAATTAAAAAAGTTGGTATTTAAATCGCTTGGTTGCCCCGACTCACGTTTCATCCTTATCTTTTATTCGCGGGCGCGAGGCTCGAAAACGTAGTCCCTGACTCTACAAGTGTCAGGTTTAGGTTCCTTGCGGACTGACACTTGTAGAGAATTTACTGTATACTTCTTTTCCGCAAGTGTCATTCCCAAAGAAAACCGCGTTCAAAAATATACAGCGTTGTTAAAAAAAAGAAAAACTTACTCGAACGCGATAAAGTTCTCCATTAGACAACCCCCTCGCCTAATCTTCCTCCCTTGCGACACAGCAGCGAGGAAAGTGTGGAGACAGAGTAGAGAGAAGGTGCAGGATGGCGCGGTGGGGAATAAAATAGAAAGAAAACGAGAGTAAGATGAGGAACGGCGCTGAAGGCGGCACTTAAGCTGTTTCATAGAGCTACACCTGGAGCGAGGATATGGAAGGATAATTGCATGTACGAGGATGGCATTCGCGGCCAGTCGGAGGGGATGCCCTCTTATCCACGTGCATGTTCAACGAGCCGACAGCAACCACGGCGGTCGAGTGTTTTTTAAAAAGCTCGAGTTCAGCTAACGAGCCTAACTTGACATAATACCAACTGAAATAGACTTTATTATACCCAGCGGCCCTCCGCCGCTCCTTCCCATATCTCGCCCCGCGTATACACAACTATGGCTGTTGATTCGAATTGCACTCCTCCCGCGAGTCAAACGTGAGCTTTTTCTTTCAAACTTTCTCTCTCTTAGCGTGATATTCCTACGGTTTTGTTGCGAGTTGCAAGTTTAACCCTAGAGCGGTCTTCGGGTCTTTTTTGACCCACCGCCTTTTTATATTTTTAGTAATTTTTGCTGCTATCAAGTTTACGTTCCTTGACAATATTTTAAACGTTTATTGTCTAGGTTCGTATGTCGCGTTGGAAACAAAAATTGTGGAACATTAGGTCTTAGATCCTTTTTCACCCAAAATTATTTGGTCTACTACCTCGGAAACTATGAGAGATAGAGGAATGGTTTAAATGTCGAGATTATGTGTTTCTCACTGATGAATTCACCTACATAAGTAGCTTTCAGAAAAATTCATTTGTTTAAATAATATATTAATAATACTGTGTATTAAAAATTAATCCATTTTCACGTAAATTTGTGTAAATATACATACTCTTAATATGAATTTTGCTTTTTTAATCCGCTTAATAAAAGAAAAAAAAAGCTCGAACGTTTCTACAATATTTTTAATTATATTTCTCACTGTTAACTTCATCGTTCAGATTCCCGAAGCCGATTTATGAAATATTTAATTTCCATCTAGCAACGTTCAAATACACGAAGAAACTTTATTTAAATTCTATGAAACTTCTCTGTCAAATTGCTCCTCCTCTCTGTAATCACCTTTCCATCCATCCGTTTCTCTGTATTTCAACATAATGAATAAACAACTTAATTCCAATATCAAAGATCAATTGAACTACCATCGATTAATAGAAAAAAAATTCTTCCGTCATCTCACAACGGGATCTACCGTTTCCGCGAAAGCCAAATGAAATCAGACGAAGTTCCGAGGAATCACAGGGTGCAAAAGTAACGGGAACTCATTAACGGATTGGAATCAATAATAAAATAAACTCCGCGGGAAGTCGATTACGCTCGTGCAAACGTAATTCTTCTTCCTCTTCCTTTTACAAGACAAAACGCGTTATTATAGATCGGAGGAGATCGAGAGAGAAAGAGAGGAGGGGGAAAGTGAGGAAATGAGTGAGTGAGAGAAAAAGAGAGAGAAAGAGAATAAATGAACGAGTGAGTGAGTGAGAAAGAGAGATAAAGTGAGTGAGAGAGAGGGGGAGAGAGAGAAAGTGAGTGAGTGAGTGTGAAAGAAAAAGAGAAAGTGAGTGAGAGAGAGAGAGGGAGAGAGGGAGAAAGTGAGTGAGTGAGTGTGAGAGAGAAAATGAGGGAATGAGTGAGAGAGAGAGAGAGAGGGAGAGAGAGAGAGAAAGTGAGTGAGAGAGAAAGAGAGAGAAAGTGAGGGAATGAGTGAGTGAGAGAAAGTGAGTATCTGCGTGAGAGAGAGCAAGAGAGAGAGAGAGAGAGAATAAGTGTGAGAGAAAGAGAGAGCAAGAGATAATGGGCGAGAGAGAGAAAGAGAACAAATAAACTAATGAGTGAGAAAGAGAGAAAGTGAGGGAATGAGTGAGAGAGGGAATGCCTGCGAGAGAGAGAAAGAGAGAGAAGGAATGACTGAGAGAGAGAAAGAAAGTGAGTGTCTGTGTGAGGCTTTACAAGACAAAACACGTTATTATAGATCGGAGGAGATCGAGAGAGAAAGAGAGGAGGGGGAAAGTGAGAAAATGAGTGAGTGAGAGAAAAAGAGAGAGAAAGAGAATAAATGAACGAGTGAGTGAGAAAGAGAGATAAAGTGAGTGAGAGAGAGAGAGAGAGAGAGAAAGTGAGTGAGTGAGTGTTAGAGAGAAAGAGAGAAAGAGAGTGAGAGAGAGGGAGAGAGGGAGAAAGTGAGTGAGTGTGAGAGAAAGAGAGAAAGTGAGTGAGTGAGTGTGAGAGAGAGAGAGAGAGAAAGTGAGGGATTGAGTGAGAGAGAGAGAGAGAGAGAGAGAGAGTGAGTGTGAGAGAGAAAGAGAGAGAAAGTGAGGGAATGAGTGAGTGAGAGGGAGAGGGAGAGAGGGAAAAAGTGAGTAAGTGTGAGAGAGAAAGTGAGTGAGTGAGTGTGAGAGAGAGAGAGAAAGTGAGTGAGTGTGAGAGAGAGAGAGAAAGTGAGGGAATGAGTGAGAGAGAGAGTGTGAAAGAGAAAGAGAGAGAAAGTGAGGGAATGAGTGAGTGAGTGAGAGGGAGAGAGGGAAAAAGTGAGTAAGTGTGAGAGAGAAAGTGAGTGAGTGAGTGTGAGAGAGAGAGAGAAAGTGAGGGAATGACTGAGAGAGAGAGAAAGAGAGAGAAGGAATGACTGAGAGAGAGAAAGAAAGTGAGTGTCTGTGTGAGGGAGGGAGAGAGCAAGAGAGAATGAGTGAGTGGGAGGGAGAGAGAGAGAGAGAGTATGAAAGAGAATAAGAGAGTGAGTGAATGAGAGAATGAGTAAGAGAGAGAGAGGGAGAGAAAGTCCTGGGGTATGATTATCTTTCATCCAGGGGGCGAGAAAGTTTCGCGGCGAGAGGAAGCTTGGAAAATGGTTTAATAAAATAAATACGATGAGCTCCGCCGTTGCTGGTGAATTCGCGTACAAGAAACGAGGACAGTGAATGCCGACTGACGGGGAGAGATATAATAATATCCTCAGGGTTTGTGGGGGCGAGTAATAGCTGAGAACAAAGCCGCGGTTCCGTCGGGACTGCCAGTCCATTCTTCCTTCTCTGTCCTCTTAAAGGATCTCCATGCTCGTTTACTTTCTTTCTACCCGTCTTTCTTCTACCACATTCTTCCTCCCAAATACGAATTTCATTCGGGAAGACGTCGGTAACGACGCCGACTCGTTTCTTTCCATCCGATAAATACGTTTAAACCTTCGACA